TTCTATTTTTCTCAGATTTAAATGGTCAAAGGGATCTAAATATTTTGTATTGCTAAGATAAACCATTCTAATACAACCATATACCATAATGGTGATTGGACACAAGTCATAAGGAATTTAAACTCAAAATACTACCTTTAAAAGAACATTGCTACACATGTCACTTAGTAGTCTTTACCTGTTCCACCGCAAAAAAATAGACACGCTGGACAAAATGATTTATTAATATCCCAGTTGTCTTGATTCTTAAACGTATAAAAGCACAACTATAAAGCTTGTGTTATGTATGGGGCATTCTAACGAATTGGTTCAAAGTCAGGTTGGAAATATTTTAAAATGTTGTATGTGTCATGGGCGGCCCAGCGGGAACGGGAGAGCGCTGCGACCCAGCGCGGAAAGCGGTGCGCTGCGGCCCAGCGTGGAGGGAGTAGGTAGCCTGGAGCTTGGCCGCGAGGTCCATCACTCGATCCCAGTGAGCTCGGTCTCCGATTGACCACGAGAAGGCCTCCTCCTCTGGAGACAGCGTGGTGGGCGGCGGATGGCGAGTGCGGCGACCCAAGCGCCTTCTGGGGACTCTGGGAGATTCGACCGAGAAGGCCAGGAAGCCAGCAGGGAATCCGGGGAGAGCATTTCCCCCATGACGATAGACGATGACGCATCCAGTGACAGGAGACACACACAGCTTAAATACACTAGGGAGGTGCAGGTGATTGGACACAGGTGGAAACAATCAGACAATCACAGACGATGAGAGGACAAGCCAGGAAGTGAAGTTACCCAGGGAGACAAGCAGAAAACTACAAAATAAGACAGGAAATAAAACCACACCGTGACAGTATGTTTTATTCCAAAAACTTTGTACGTATATATATTGTACCATAAGTTTGATGAACCATCAATTTTTATATTGTATTTTCAGACTGTATTGGAATATTTTTCCTCTTTCAAAAATTGTCACTACTGAAACATAGTAATAAACTATAGTAAAAAGATATTATCGTAGACGTGTTAAGATTGTGTTTCCTTTCCTTCCCTGAAGAGTATTATTACTAATTATTTTTCACAATTAAACCAATAAAAATGACATGTTTTATAAAATTTCTAATTTCAATTAATACAATTCTTCAGAATCTCAATCCGAAGTCACGATACTTTTCCCCCCTAAATTCGCACGCAGCTGACAGACAAAGGACAGGCAAAGTACGGCGGATATTAACGTGTCATGATGACGTCATCCACGAACCCAGAACGCGCGCTCACATCGGTGCAGCGGTGGTTCTTGTGCACCGACTACGGACCGCGACGACTATTTTACGCTTCGGCGAGTTTGAATGTGGCTTCGTTAGTTTAGCTCAGCTGTCTCGGTTTAGCTGACTGTTAGCAGGCTGAAGCCGCGGTGCTTCACAGAAACATGAAGACCCGTTTAACAGACTGTCGGACCTTTCTGCTCTGTTCTCTGGCGACGGCAGGCAGCGTTTCCTCGGTGGATGAGACGCTCCGTCACAGGCTTCCAGAGCTGCCAACTTTTCAAAAAACCTTGGAGTGAGATTTTGTCGGGGGTGACCAAAATTTTGCCGCGCACGCAGCCACACACGTTGGTGGCTCAAATATCAGGAAATTGGAATTCATTTGGCGTAGTACCCATGTTGTACCCTGCATTCTGGTGGTTTGTGGGGCCCAAAGTCGTTGATAGGGGCGGCCTACTGGAGATGGACAACATTGGTTACATTCTGTGAAGCAAAGACATAGCTGATGGTCCACCCCCAGGACATTTTGGTTTAAGTAGATGTTATTTCATGCATTCTCGTGGATTTTTGGGTGGTATGCCTGAACTTATTCTGATTTATGTTCATCTGCTCATGACTTGTTGGGCCTTCTAGACTTGAGCTGAACATTCAACCAGAAAACTATTGCTGTGCCTCAATGACTGTCTATGTACCACAATATAGCCTAATTAATAGACCTGTGTTTAAGATTAGATTAGCAGCAGTGCTGCTTGTTATGACAGCTGAGTTTACATTCACCACTCAAAATCACACGCACAAACACAACAAATAATTTCTTTCAAGATTTAAAGTTTAAGAGAGTGAGTACTTAATTGAACCACATGTCATTAACATACCTTAGTCTTTGCTCCTCCTGAGTTTCTCCCGCGGTTGTGTCTGTTTGAAAATCTTCTTCTGTTGCTAACTTCGGGACTCTTTGGGGTAAATAGGATGTCTATGCAGCCAATGGGTTTACAGATGCGCTCCTTAGCGCCATCTATTGTCGGGGAGTTTGAAAAGGAACGAACGCGCTTCGGCCCAAAATCAGATTTTTTTTTTTGCCGTGAGAAATTGGTTGTGTGGCGTGAGTGCGTGTGAAAACATGCAAAAGCGTGTGTCACACGGCGAAACCGTGAGAGTTGGTAGGCCTGGGCTTCTCCAAACACGTCTAACGTAATAAACGCATTGCATGTTCTGAAGCCAAGAAAATAATGTATTGCAACGATTGTAGGACGTTAAGGTCTCTTTTGTTGGGACAGTGGAAACAATAAAGGACCATGAAGTTTCCGGTGGCCATGTCAAAAGCATTGCAAGTAAACAGACAAAGACAACAACAACAAGTTGCGTTTAGATCCCTGGTCCTCATGAAGTTGTTACACCTTTGCCAATTTGTTAAATTGCCTTGCAAATAAATGCTTTGCTATTTGTTCAAATCCAAATCCTTTCATGTAATGATTTTTCACATGTCATTTATATTCGCTCAAACAAACACTTCAACCATTTGTTCTTGGCCCGGCTCCTCCGTCACATTTTACAACTGTGAGATGCATGTGCTGGTAAAATATATTATAACATTGTTTTGTGCTAAAGCCGTGTCTCAAGTGTCCTGTATTTGACCCTGATGTGCAAAGAGCAGCATGATACAAAATGTTGCTTTGCAGCTGTGTCCTGAGAAGGGAGGGCGGTCAACTCAAGCTCATAGACGCTTCAAAACAAAGGACTTCTGTTCATGGCCTTGGTTCATATCTTATTCGGTACGAAAGTTCCGGATCCACGTTTTTGCTTTATGTCAATTAATTATGATTTGCACCGGCCACTGAGGAGGATCTTGTGTGTGTGTGTGCTACCCTCATCTTCACCTGGGTTCTTATCTCAATCTGCTTTGCAGCTTCTCGTAGCTGGCACGGAGAATGTCCTTCACATGTGTATAAAAACTCAGCGTTTTTACTGCTCGGAGACGTCATTACACAGAGCGCTGAGATACGTGCTGGTGTGTTGGACCTCCTGCTTGCAAGCAATAGTTAGAGCCAGATATCTGCGGAGAATTGCTCATGTAATCTTTTTCTCTTCTAAATAAATGTTAACTTTTTGACTTTAATTCATCAACGTGCTGCGATTCTTCTCATCAACCAACTCGGGGGGATTGGAGATCCTGACACAACCCATTGTGGCCCGCGAGTCAAAAAGTTTGCCGACTGCTGCTATAGACCTGTCCTATGAGGGACAGCTGATGGACAACCAAGTACTGCAAGCTAGACTATTATGCAGCTGTAGACACACCACAGGGGGTCCCTGGGCCTGAGAAGGGAAGAAAATTAGTTTAATATGGCTATTAAATGTGACTAAAACTAGACTAAAACAATTACATTTTAGTCTAGTTTTTGTCGACGAAAACTAGAGTAAAACTAAGAAGGATTAAAATGACTAAATGTGACTAAAACTAATATGCATTTTTCGTCTGAAGACTAAGACTAAATCAAAAATAGCTGCCAAAATTAACACTGGTGTTTACCTTTACCTGCTCTACTTAAACAGCATTCACACTCACACTCATACTCATACTCATTGCAAAGTTTTGTTTTAACTACGTTTGATTCTCTGCCGCCTGCCTTTTTGATCTCGCTCTCGGGAGCTTCGACTGCTTTGATGCCTGCTCTGACTCTTGCCTAATAAGTCTGCAAATGGATCACATGCTTCCGACCCCTCATTACAATTATATTGATTACAGAGTTCATGATTGATAAAAGTGAACATAGATCAAACCAATCCGTATGATACCATATTAATTGATAACTCAATATACTTTATTTTTTACAAAACATCCAGTGTTTCGGTAAGTGACAGCACTAGACAAAACTGTATAATATTTCCTCAACCTTATTACTTAATCTCAACTCATAACATACCTTTGTTGGGAATATTACAAACAAAAATGTTTTGTGATAAATAGATTTTTTTTTTTGAAGACATAACTGTTCATCCAGAAACATTCAAACTACTGTGATAGTCTCTCTTTGTCCAGCCTTATTTCTTAGCCACTGGTACCACCATGTGATTTCTGTTCCTGATGTACCAGTACTTGCGGTGTGTGTAAGAAACGTTCTTTCATGAGAGACATTCCCTGTACATGCAAGCTTTAGCATGAGTGTCACAGCACAACTCCGCTGCGGCTTTGCTCAAACTCTATGAGTTAATAATACCGAGGTGCTTGAACATGTCTGCTTCCATTTGGGCATTGTCATGCAGTTTGCAGACACATGTCTCCCTGTTGTTGATGTTTGGGGCAACAATCCACAAGGTTCTGTCTTACAGAAAAGCGAATAGGGCAGCTTGAGATGAGGCCTCTCCAGCAATAACTTCTGATTCAGCATCGTGTCAGAGAGGAACCTCTTTTGTTTCTCCTTTTTGAATCTTGAATCTTAATGAAACTTTTGTCATCTCGACTTAAGAACATTTTGACTATGTCCATGGTCTTTTTATTACCAGTTCTCTAAAAAATGAACCTTGGCTGTGGCTTACAGTCTTGTTGTAGACTTTGTGGGAGATACCTACTGTTTTTCTGAGCAACTTCACAAGTTTGTATTGTGTGTAAGCCGCACCGGTCTATAAGCCGCAGAAAAAAGACTGCTGACGCAGAGTCGTCCGTGCCACCAAAGTATATGAGTTGAATACAGATGCAGATCAACCTGTAATCATATGTGAAAGCATTTTATGGAATGAAAAATTCCATCAAAATAAATGACAAAATACAATGTTTTATTAACATCTCACTACAAGACTCCATATCTGCATGATAGCATAATCCTTCCAAAACTATTTCAAGTAATTGCAAATATATGAATGAAAATACATTCATGGTATTATGTCACAACACTGCGTAAAATGTTTTGTTTGCATTTATGCACGCAAAAATATTGGTGATGTTTAGGGTATCCTCATTGTTTGGCTTACAATTCTTCAAGGTTAGGAGAGATTTGTTGTAATGGTTACAGTTCTAAACACATTTGGGTGTTAATTTAATACACAAGTATAGAGTAAGTATATGTTGGTGCCTAACATGTTTGATTAGTCCACTATGTAGTAGGTTTGCCAACTGACCCCTGGTTGGCATAATTCTCTATTGCATTGTAAGGTGTCATAGCTGGCAATCAGCTAGTGGCAGCCTGAAAAAAAACATGCAATGGGAGAATATAGACCATACTGGGCTTTGTGTGGTCTGATAATCTATGGGGGAGGCAGCTTAGTTAGGCTGCACTCTTTGCCGCAACACAGGAAAAGCAAAAAAGCCACTACCTGAGAGGAAGGATACAGAAAAATGCCATTGATGTTAAGAAATACAAACAGAAAGGGACAAGCTTTTGCAACTCTAAATACAAGGTTCAAATACACTAAGAAGGAGTGAGAGACTTAAGAAGCATACAGATAAAAATATTAGTGATAGACAGGGAGTTATGATTACCCCTAGACATGCACACTAATTTTTAAACAATAAGAAATCCCTCAGGTCAAGCTAAGCCAAAGTGCAAATAGTGGAAAGGTAATGCTTATAGCCACAGTCTATAACTGGTGGGTCACACTCAACACCAAGCAATTTTGAACAGGCAGGAGGTAAGCCAGCTAAAGGCAGGGAAAGACTAGAAAATTAGATTATATTTATACGAGAGTAGTGTATTTCCTCAGTATAAAGCTTTAATTAATACAACAACGATCTTGTTTTGTGTCCAGAAAGACCAAGTGTTGGCAACCAGTTCCATAGCAAAACGTGTTTTAGCGCATAGCATTCACCGGTGATGCTTTTGAAACAAGTATGTTTTATTGATTGTTAAAGGTGATGAATGTAGGTTAAGTAAGTAAGTTAAGTAAGTGATGTCCACTTAATAGTTACATCAACATGTTGTTTGCTGGTTGGTTAAAACAATTCATTAATGTGGGATTTTCTGCGATACCCGGAGTTGGACCTTCATGCGATAAGGTTTGGGAGTCAGAGTGACCCCATAGACTGGAGTGAAGTCTGGCTCTCCTGCATCCTCAGGCCAGATGAACTTAAACTTCCTCAGCAGCGTCACCGTAAAGAGGAAGAGTTCCATACGGGCCAGACCCTCTCCGAGACACATCCGAGGGCCTGAAACATACAGAATACAATATAAAAAAGAGCTCACGGTCATGGACTTAACCTCTTCATGTTGTTTGTTTCTTATGCTCTCCTACCCCCACTACTCTCTACCCTCAACGCCCCACTAAAACACTGCTGCCAGAATGGACGGTTGACTCCACTGCAGTGGATCAAGCTTTCAGTTTCAGTCACGGAGTGTAACACTTTTCCCACTTTTTAGAGTAGGTTAAATACCTTCAATAAAGCTTATAGTTAAGGCTGGTTCAGGCTTGCCTAGAACAAGACTGCAATGAGACGTTCTAGCCAACAACCGGTGTTACATATTATACAGATTCTGAAGCCACCTCAGGCCATTTCGTTACTGTGATATTGGTCTACATGAATATAATCGTTTTGACGAGAATTGGAACCTACCTGCAGAGAAAGGCATGAAGGCCTCTGGTTTCACAAACTCTCCCTGGTCATTGAGGAAGTTTTCAGGGTTGAATTCATTTGGGAATTTCCATTGGCCCTCCTCATTCAGCACTGAAGTGAGATTAGGGATGATCAGAGTACCCTGTGGACAAGACATGAATTAAAAGAGGAATGAATAATTTGCAGAGATGTATATTCCCAGCAGAGACGCCTAAATTGTTTTACACAATAGTGACAGAAAAGACAAGAGCAGTTGATTCTTACTTTGGGGATGGAATATCCATTGAGCTCTGTGTCTTTAGTTGTAGAGTGGAAGATGCTGAGTGGGACAGTGTTGGCTACTCTCTGGAATTCATGGATTACGGCCTGGATAAAGAAATATTTAAATATCATGTTCCCATACTTAAATACCGGCTCTCAAAAGATCAGCCACACAAAAAAAGCAGCAAAATGTGAACTAGCACGAGGATTGTTATATATGTGAAATGTGAATTGAATTTACCCCAAGGATGTACCCACGGGTGAACATCCCAAAAATAAATCCAAGATTTATTGGCTATGAGAAAAGTGTGGGATTTACCTGCACATAAGGCATGTTGTTTCTGTCCTCAGAACTGGCCTGATCCTTTCCCTCCAGCACCATGTCTATCTCCTGCTGACACCGCTCTGACAAAACATGAAGGATGATAATAAAAATTTGCAGTATTACTAAAATCTGATACAAACAATTAGGAGCATTCAATTGTAGAATATTTGCATACCTTGTACATGTGGGTAGTTCATTAAGTAAAGGAAACCAGTAAGAAGGGTGTTGGAAGTAGTGTCAGTCCCAGCAAAGTGAAGATCTAGGATATACATAGTGAGCTGTGCTTCTGAAAAGGACGAACGATCACCCGGCTAAAGAGAGGAGAATGATTGTTTTAAAACAAGAAATAAAGACGTTTCACACGCCAAACCAAAGTAAATGTGTAGTTTTCAACGTGAATGGCCTGTTTTTTCCAAGTGGTCAGTTAAAAGATTACGATGCGAATGGGAAACAAACCTGTAAGTGCATTATTAAATTATTCATTTTCATACCTTTAAACTCATAAAGGGTTGCGTCAAACCCCCAGGATTTATGAGAGACTTAAGTGTAGTCCAAAGTGAGCCAATGTAGAATGTAATAATATTCTTATATCTTATAAATTAGGTAGAGTGCAGTTTCATTTCATTAAACAAACTAAACCACATCCACAAGCTTTTACAACCAGGGTCTTTTGATTGTTCTGAGCAAAATCCAGTATCGGCAGTAATTTCAACTTGGAGTGAAAGGATGAAAAGTTGGAGACCTTTTAACGCCGATTGGCCAAGATTCGGCACGTCACATCAAAAAAAGAAATAATGCAAAGCTGACAACATCACCAAATTTGCAAGTATGCATAATTCATAAATGTACCCATCTTTTCTGTGTTCTATGATTCACCTTATCCAGCCGATCCAAGTAGCAGTCAACAAAGTCTCGCGGCTCTCCAGGCACTCTCGTCTGCTTGTGCTCATTCATCAAAGATTTTGCAATTTTCCGGCATGTCTGAAAAAAATTCAAGTCAACATTCAAAATGTATGTTATATTTCTTCATTTTTAATTTACAAGATGCATGCATGCAGAGAGAGAGAAAGAGAGAGAGAGAGAGAGAGGAAGAGAGAGAGAGGGCGCTTAACCTACCTCCACATTCTTAAAGGCCCGTCTGAAGGGAAGTGGCAGGCTTCTGATCAAAGGAAAAGAGTCATAAATCTGTGTAAATGAAAAGAAAACATAAATTTACAGTAGGTTATTTAAAACCAAACATGTATATTCTGCATCTTGGCATAAATTGGTCTGAACAAATTATTTTATTATCACATATGGGCTAAGATTCTGTGCTGGAAAACAACTCCTCTGTGAGTCAAGGCGAGTAGGTATGTAAGGATACATAAATGAAAGTTGGAGGGACAGACAATCCATGCTTACGATGCAGTTTATTTGGACTATCAGTTACTTTAGTGTGGCTCTGGGAAACTTTGGACTGAAGGTCCGTATTACTTTATGAAAAATGTCATACTTTCAGATCTAATTGAATTAATTTGGTAATATGTGTGATTAAGAGAAATACTTTGACAGCAACACTTACTTACTTTAAAACCTGATTTTGAAACAAGCATTAATATCCCAAAAGGTTGAATAAAACATTACTAAGATAACATGCTGTTGTTTTCTCCTCTTCATTTTAGATATGCTGTTTACAACTAAGCATGTTGCAGGTTAAAATATCCTCCATCATACATTTGTTGGAATGCATTAAGCATTCCAAGTATTGTTCTTCGAATCTTTATTTCCGACTTTTTCTACTTCTTCCGCCGCACCTCTCAACTCCTTCACACTTTCAGCTATTAAAACCGTTAAAATATTAAAATATTCAGTTCTTCCATGGGAGGGGTGCTATGTCTTTTCAGCTTTCTAGCTCTTAAGCTTGAATTTATATAAATCAATAGTGATAACGTCACTTGATAGGCGTGGTATATGACGGAAAGTAGATTTGATCGCGCGAAAACTGAAAGCTAACCGCAAACAACAATGGAGGGCATACAGCCGATCCTGTTCTTGCTTCTCGATATGTGGCTGTTTGTCACAAGGAGACGACAATCTTTGTTTGAGCAAAGGCTACATGCTCCAAGTGTGTTACTTTCCCCTTGCGGCACACGCAAATGACGACACTCTTTCAAACAATCAACGTTCTGTCTAGCTCCACCCTTTAGTACCAAACAACTGTGCCAGGTACCCCAACGGAAGGGTACCCAAAAAGTGGTACGATACGGTTCGGATTTTTGGTACCATTCTCAACTTTTGGCAGTGGAGACACAAATAAAAGGGTATCGACCCGACCCGTACCGTACCGCTCGGTGGAAACGCGCCAAAAGTGTCCCTGAGCAAGACACCTAACCCCTAATTGCTCCCCGGGCAAAATGTAAGAACCATGGGTTAAAAAAGTGTAAGTCGCTTTGGATAAAAGCGTCAGCTAAATGACATGTAATGTAATATTTCTTCACATGGTTTTCCAATGGAGATTGTTTTCAAATCCTCTTAAACTTTCAGATTTTCAGCTTTGACAATCTTTCAGCTACAAACACCATTTCAACTTTCAAATGTTGACACAAGTCTCAACAATTTAATGAAAAAACTGCTTGTTGATATCTATTCTACTTTTTTCATAATCACTGATTATGTTTCACTAGTTCTTCGGTCCGTTTCTGAGTTTTACATGAGTGTGTATTGCGTGTCTTAGAGTGAGAGCTGGAGATGCTAGAGTGTAGAGCAGTGTCAGAATCTGGTTAAAAAAATATGGAACTTCTGTCCTCAGAGCCAAAGTATACACTTTTGAGACTTCATTTTAGGTGAAAGTGTTGGCATGGTTGTGCTGATTGGATTAATGTGGCTAAGGAATCCCAGAGTTCTTTAGTGATGGCTTCAGGAGTGTTAGAATGACACAACCTCTGCCAAAAGCCCCATAGGCTCCAATACAAATCTGCCGACATATTTCTCAAAAAAGAAGGTACACGTTTTGTAAACTGCGACAGGAGCCGTATTTATTACTGGACAGACATAAAAACCACATTCTTGCGTTCGGTAGAGTCTTGCGTCTCTCACAACGTCTTATTTTTTAGATAGCTGTTATAGTTTTTGCGCTGGTGGACACTTGTTTGAGGTGTGGATTCTGTGTAACTCGCTGTCCTGTCTCTGCCCTTTTCAGCAGCTCGTTAATGAACCCAGCTGCGCCGTTGCCGTGGATACTCGCACACACGCTGCAGTATCTCTGTCTGTGACTCACAGCTGCTCCTATTACCTGATTAGTGGAGTCACATGATGCAGCTATGCTTTCTGTCAACAGACTAACATGATGAAGACACCCTCCCCTGACCTCTTCTCACTGTTAATCACTCACTCAGTCAGTCTGTCTGTCTGTCTGTCGGTCTTTCTCCCCTCCTCTCACTCATCACTTTGTCACTTGTCACTTTGTCTCTTACTTGTTCGTTAGTGCACTTTATGCTTAATATTTTTCTTTTTAATATTTAAATTTTTGTAACTTTATTCCCTTGTTTTATACTAACCCATAGCCTTAGCCTTATTCTACTAACCCATTGCATTAGCGTTTCATTCCACTTTATTTTATTACTTGTGCACTGTTGTCTTGTCTGTCTACGGTCGCGCACTAACCGCCAAGACAAATTCCTTGTATGTTTGACATATTTTGGCTAATAAATGTTTCCTGATTCCTGATTAATCACCACCCAATACTTCCCCCCTCCACCCTGACCTCTACTCACTCTTAATCAATCACTCAGTCTCTGTTTCTCCCTTCTCTCTATCTCTTCCTCATCAATATTACGAGTACTTCTAGTAGTACTACTAATACTTCTACTACCATACTACTAGTATTTCTACTGCTATTAATACTACAACTACTACTAATGTTATTACAAATACCACTATGGCTAATAGTATTAGTATTCCAGCTGTTTCTACTGCAATTGATATTAAACCTACTATTACTACTTCTACTGCCAATACCACAATTACAACTATAACTGATACAACTACTAATATTACTACAAACTATTTAAAACTACGTTTTAGTCTTTATACTTTAAAATAATTTCAGATTTTCTTATGCCTGTATTAACAGCAATGTTTTAATATTAATTTTCTTTTGCAATATTTCAATATTTATTTCAGCTATTTTCATTTCTGCTTTTTCAGCAAATCTATTGAAATTCCATGCAGCTTCTCTCATTTCTGTATTTTCAGCAATTCCAAATTAATTTCAGCTTCTCAAATATCTGTAATTTTAGCAAATGTATTACAAATTCCTTTCAACTTTCTGTATTTTCAGCTATTTTTAAAAATTCAGTTCAGCTTTCAGCTTTTTGCATTCCAACGCATTTTCAGCAGGAAATATATTTTCTAGTTTCAGTTATAAATGTGTTTTCCTCTGGGTGACAACATGGACGTTGGAAAAATTTGAGAGTTACTCTCGCGGTCTGACAATTGTCAGCTTTGCAAGCAACACTACCCTTAGCTCCAATTGTAGCTTTTTCATTTGGGCAATAGACAAACAAAACAAAAAGGCTGAGTATGTGGTAAACATTATACCTGCTAACAACCATCTTAGCCTGCTAAAGTTGGTTCTAATCACCACCGATCAATGAACTACGGCCCCACTGAGCCGCAAGCTTAACTGAAGTCAGATTTATCTGATATTTCTGAGCGACATTTGAAGGCAGACGCATGCCTATAACTCACCATAGCCCATGGCCCATTGGCTATCTTGGCATTCTCAGTGAAGCATTGAACAACTGTTTTGATAGTCTCATCCTCATACTCAAAGCGTTTTCCAAATAGAACCTGGCAGATGATGTTGGAGGCCGCATTATGAAACATGTTTTGAGGACTGAAGGATTTGCCTGGAAAAGACAAAATGTCCACTTTAGTAAAACACTGTAATATTATCGAATATTAGTAATTTGATGTCAGTGTCCCTGATTAAAGTGAACGCTGCCATCCATGGGAGGACAGATGACATACCAATGCTCTTCTCCAGCGTGTCCACAGTATATTGTATCTCTCCATGAATCCTCTCCTCCATGCTGTCCTTCCCCATTCCAAAGTTCCTCAAGTTCATCAGAGCAAAGCGACGTTGCTCCTTCCAACTAGAACCGTAATCTGTCATGACCAGTCCTACAATAGGCACAAAAGTGTCACAAAAACAGTTGTAGGAGTCTGAAATAGAAATGTCTCAAGATATCACTGTTTACTTTGATTATAGCAGAGTTTTTCCAGAGCTCGTTTACTTTCTAGCATGATTTATCTTTTCCTCTCCTCAGTATGTTAATGAGAAGATAGCTGGTTCCTTCAATGCATAAGACCATGTTGGTACTTTCTTACACAAGTACTAGAATGACTTTGCGTGTCACCATCTCATTTGCATTTGGACTAATTGTTTAATGTTGTGCAATGAAAGGGCTTTTACAGCCAACAGAATTGAATGGAGTCTGACTTTAAGTAAATAAAAAGAGGAACAACTTGGCTTTCGGAAAAGACTTTGTTGTTGTAACAATATAGAGTGCCGCCTAACATGTGAGTGGGCAACTGCAGGACAAGTGCATACAAGTTTGATGACTGATGAATGGACGTCAAGGTTTGATGAAGAAAGACGATAAGTCCTCTCCAGCCCTGCCTCTTTTTCTCTGGTTAACTGAATTGTGAAACATACATCAGTTACATAAGACAATTCTTTTTTTCCCTCCTTTTGATTAGAGAGGTGCGTTCAAACCAAATGCAGCTGCTCTGTATTAAACACAAACTTGAAGCAAGATCCTATAACCCCGATTTAGGCCTCCCTTCACTGGTTACCAGTAAGTGTGGGATTTATCGCCTTTAAAAGGCACTTTGGGGTTTACGTCCTAGTCATATTGCTGAATTGCTGCCCCGTGAGCCAGATCATTCAACAAAGGTGATTCTAGTCTACGAGTTACCTTCATTTATAGCTCAGGTGCCTGCTTCTACCTTCTCCATAGTCCCTATTATGCTGTCGAATAGGTTCCATGTACTTTGTAATAATAACGGCAATAAAAAAAACTGCACACTGACCCTTGTTTTAACAACATATATACACTAGTGACTCTCCCATCCCTATATGGACATATTTAAGTGAACATAGGAATGTCGGGTTGTTTTTTTTAAATCAGCTATGGTGGATGACAAATTCATTCATTGTCCATTGAAACATCATGTCTGTCCTACCTTCCCTCTCGCTGCTGTCATTGATCAATAGGTCTTGGGGTCTTCCAGCGAAATCGACACCCTTGGTCACCAAAGCCTCCTTTATGGTCTTCATCTCATTAATGACTACTACTGGTTTGGGACCGAGAAATAAACTATAGACATTTCCATAGGTCTTCCTCAACTGGGAGAAAAGCAGATGACATGGTAGTGTTTTAAATCATGTAACTTCAGATGGTTATTTACTTCCAGCAATTCAATAAAATCAAAAAAAAGTTTTCTGATATAGTTAGATCTTTATCCTCTAACCTGGGAAATCACGTTCGCAGCATTAAAAATATTGGACAAACTTAAGCAGACTCATCACTCAGTCAAACAAATTAAGATTAAATAATGCAAACATTAAGAGAAAGCTAACAGCACATTACATTAAGCACCTGGCCTTTGGCCTTGCAACTTTGTATGAAAGTTAGGCAACGGCTAATATGTATGCATGACCTTAGCCACAGTTTGGCTATAGTCCAGTAGTTAAGTACACACTGTCAACTCTATAAAAAAAATAATAATAATCACCTTTTGAGAGTACACTTTACCCTTAGAAGCATATCTAACAGTGCAAAGACTTTGGCGCACATGTTTTTATTTTACATATCTTGCCAAAGGTTGAAGTGTTGAAATGTTCAACACATTTTGTGATAGTGATTACATTCATACAATTACAAGTGAATGTATTGGAAGAGCCACATCGTCAGTTTCAGCTGTCTTACCCTCTCAAAGTCCTTCAGGGGGTTCTCTAGGCTCAGGTCCAAAATGTTCCCCAGTATCGGCCAGACTGGGGGTCCCGGTGGAAAGTTCTTGGGCCTTCGGGATTTGAGTTGAATGACGATGAAGACAATGCAGATTAACAGCAGGATTATTGACGCAAACATGGTGGAAGGGACTGAACTGAAGAGTTTACTGGCTTTCTGCGAGTATTTCTCGGTTCTGAATGCTTACTCCTGTAGTTATGTTTGGCTCACCTGTGGTAAAAGGTGAGTGGGAAAATCAAATAGAAACAGGTTACACTTTGAGAGGCATATATTCTTCAGGATTTGGCTTGAATTGTCCACAAAAATTTCAGTTTATACATTACTAAACTTTTTCCATAGCCACAAAGCTAAATTATTCTCATGGCTTTGTTAATAGAGCTAACCAGTTACACAATACAACATAGATTTTTTTTTTCAAATACTGTAATTAAAAATTAGAGGTACCAGCTTCCACATTCCAGAAAGAAATATACATTTTTAAACTACTTCAATTATTCATCAGATTGTTCCATACGAAAAACATATGAAGAGCGTCCACGATACCGTATCTTATAAATAATGACTGATGCAAAATATGCCAAACAATTTATACTTGCAGCTTCTCAAAACTACTTTTTATTTTAGTTTTATTATTTCTATAGATAATCTTTTGACCTGCAGTCCAAAACTCAAAACTCTATACGTCACTCACCCCAAATGACGTCATTTTATTTATTTTATTTACGTTGGGTTCAATTACATTAAGGAGCCGAAGCGCAGCGGCTGCTCGCGCCGATGAGCGACGCGTCCTGCAGAAAATGGAGGCGACCTGAGTGAGGCTGCCTCTTTACGCAGAAGAAGTTGGTACCGAAACAAACATTTGCCAAACATACCACTGAGAGTCTTCATCCTCAAAGTCTAAACCTGGAAAAAAAGAAAAAGTCTTACCTCATACTTATACTGCTTATTACAGCGTGGATCGGAATCACTGTTAACCCCCAGCTATGGACAAAACCACTGCGCACAGAACGCGACTCTACTGGCTGCCGTGGTTTCCTGTGGTTACGCAACGATCTTATTTGCACAGTTACTCCCTCTGAACACGATGTATAGCCAGCAGTGATACAGGCCATACATGCACATTGGGTGTGGTCTAACTTCCACACAATATAACAAAGGCGTGAAATATTTGCAGCCCCGACAGCAAAAGCAGTTGAAAGGGAAACATACTGTGGTGCACATTAATGCTGCAAAATGAAAAATATGATTAAGTGGTTGACTAATAGCAAAGACGTTTGCTGAAAATCTATGTTTAAATAATAGAATGGTCTATGAGGAAACTGCATCTAAACATTGGGGAAAAACAGATCCACGGTATTTTTACATCTGGTTGGTTTCCATTAGTAAAAGGCTTTTATAGAGGGGGTGGATCCGTGTACCTTTTGATCTCTTTTACCGTAAAAACGAAAACAGTTTTTCTCGTTTTTCGTTTTAAATCAAAAGCGGTAAAAAGGTAGTGGGCGGCCGTTTTCTCGTTTGTCGTTTAGAACCTTCCATTAATCCCTTTTTTTGGCCCATAAAAAGAAAATACGAGGCGTAGCCGCCAAACCGGAAGTACGTCGATTTTCACAGTAAGAATCAACGCAAGTTGTGTGCTAGAAATCCGTCTGCATGCCAGCGGTAACCAAGGTAACAGGAGAAAAGTTCATTAATTAATATAAATAAATAATCATGGTCCGACGGGATGTAATAGAAACAGTAGTTGACTACACGCAGATGTATTTTAATTCATCCATATACTCATCGGTTCACCGTTTGATGGAATATAGTTAACTGTAGTAGCAATCTTAGGTTTGCTGCCCCTTTAGCTGGCTTGTTGTTGTTCTTTGCCATCAGGCACAGGTGGGAGTGATGTTTCAACGCAGACACACAAAAGATTTTCCAGCGATGATTGTGGTTGAGGTTTGTAATTGATTGCAGGCAATTGTATAAACAGATGAACATACCGGTTGAACGTGCTCCAATTGATGGTGGTCTGTCTTCGTGGTCTGGTGAGAACTGTCTGGTGATCACCTACCTGTCCCTCGCTTCCTGTCACCTACGTCCCTTATGTACACCCAGGTGCACCTAATCACCGCCACCTAGTGTCCAAAGTGTCAATATAAATACAGTCTAACAAACAAAATATACTTTGCCAACAACAACACATAATGGCCCCTACATTAACAATGCAGGTAATAATATAGATAATGATATAGTTAAACATAGTGTAATCAAAATGGTTTGTGGTTGCACACTCTTGCTCTCTTGCTCTTGGCTCTGATATTTATTTTCTACGTATTATGATGCTTCAGTGAACGCAGAGACAGTTTTGGAGACGCAAAGTAAACGTGTTCACATCTCCACCACTAGGTGGCAGAATGCCTTTATTTAAAACATGGATTTAATTATATTTAACTGTGTTTAAGTTATTTTTCCAGGTTATTACAGATGTATTTAATTCTGTTTATTTCATATGATTTTTAGGGGTTATTTTCAACCAGTGTTATATGTATATTATGGAAGAGGGAACATGTGCTGCTTGGGGTCGTTGTGGCGGAGGGGTTAGAGAAGGTGTGCTGGGAAGCCCAAGGTTGGTGGTCCGAGTCCAGGCTGCCCCATCTTCCATGTCGAAGTGTCCCTGAGCAAGACACCTCACCCCTAATTGCTCCTTGGGCAAAATGTGAAAAAGCCATTTAGCCATGGCTAAATGACCTGCTGACCTAAATGAGATGTAATGTTAAGCAATAAATAATGACAGTCATGGTTAGAATAGAGACGTTTGGTTAATTAATTCTGGTTAATATGTCACACTTCCATTCTAAATTGAATGGTTAGGCCAAAGAGGCCCAGATGATAAAAAATAATGTTGGTCTAATGCTGTGGTCTAGGGAAAGACTTGACATTTTGAATCTAGAATATTTTACATTTTTTCCTCACTAGACAAGAACAATAAAGAGATTAATTAATTGCTACAATGTTACCTTTCATGTGACCCTCAGAGGGATCTCTGGACCTGTGGACATTCGTCACGTGCACATCGTCAGGCTAGAATTGGGTTGGAAACCATTGCAACAGACTACCTGCAAAACACTGTTATAGAAAATGTATTTCCCGCCAAATAACACTGGTCTGCTGAAGCCTCTTTTGGGAGGAGGGTTTAAAGTTTTAAAACTATTGAAAACTGTGACCGTGAACTGAGAGAATAAACATGTACCTTAATATGTAGATAAGATTGCAGTTTAGTGACACTGGAATGTAATTTAGTAGAAGAAAGAAATCTTTGGACATGTTGTCTCCAGTGGTAGCGAGACACATTTTACTTGAAATACAATATTAGTATCCTCTTTAGCTGAACATTTGAGTAATTTCCTCTATCATCACCAAAGTCAAAGGTTACATTTATCCTGAGTACACTGTGATGTCCTTGATGAACAGCAACAAGGAGTCACATGGTAACTCTGGAGGGAAGAAGGTGCTCTGGTTAGATGAGACCAAAACGGAACTTTTTGGCCTCACACATCCGGCTTCGCTTTTTTATTAAAAATCACATGAAATAAAAATAATTAAATACATCTTGTAATAACAGATAAATAACATAGATTTAACTATATTTAACTATGTTTAAGTACACGTATTCTGCCACCTACACTGAAAAAAATGATGTGTTGAATTTACTTAATTTTTTTTAGGTAAGTAAATGCACGAAATAAATGTATCTAAATCCAGACATATTTTTTAAGTAAATTGTACTCATTATTTTCAACTAATTTCAGCCTATTTTTATTTATAATTTCTGCTCAACTGTTTTGAGTAGAGTTAACTCAAATTTATTAAGAAATTCCAACTAAACCCATGTTCAGTTTAATCAAATGAATTAGGTAACTGTAACTATTCTTTTTATTTACATTCTAATCAATTTATTGTTTAAATTATACATACTAAAATTAAGTTTCATCAAATGAAATGCCATTGGTCAATATCAGTGTATTTTATTCAAAAAAAGCAAAGGGCATATTATAATACACCTTACATAATAATCTAAACAAAAGAAAGAACATTCTTTTCCACAACTGAATGTATATATATACACACATTACCTATACATTACATATATATATACATTAAATGTTTATATGTACATTACATATATATAAACCAGTTGCTTTAACGCTAGAAGCCCCTCAACACAATCCAACAGACTGAGCAACAAATAAACGACACTATCAAAATCTTGTGCTACCTCTTATTCATTTTTCTTTAGATGGATATGTTCTTCTATTTTGTATGTTCTATAAATGTGTTGTATTTATTATCTTCAGTGCTTCAATGAGGTGTTGCAGACTCTTCAGGAGGCTTTAAAATCAAAAAGTTCCAACAGAGCTGTGTGTGTGTGTGTGTGTGTGTACTAGAGTACCAGTCATAATATATATGTATATATAAAAATAGAAAATAAATAAACAAACAAATCTCACATGCTCAACTAAGGCACAAATGTTGGTGTATTATAAAAAAAAAGTGCATTGGGAACAGACTTATTCGTCAGCGAATAAATCAAGACATAATGAAACATGTGACTTAAACCTCCAGAAACTTTTACTCTCCGATACTAGCAGAAGATGAAAATAGCAAATCTGTGTAGAGCCAGAACGAGACTAACTGTCACATCAATAAATGGAACAAACATCTTTTCAGTGTGCCATATATATCGTTTACCCGGGTTTGACTGGTGCTTTTTAATTACGTCGACTCTTTTCTTCTGCAATGCAATGAGACCAGTTCACAAGAGTGGCTGAAGATTTCCTACAGTCCAGCATCTATTTTGTTCCTTAGTCCAAGGATTTGGGGGGAAAGCTTTTCAGCATCCATTCGAAAGAGCACTTTCTGAAGGAATTCGTAATAGTATCTTAGCTCTTTGGGGTAAGCCATGTTCAGAGCGTAGATGACTCCCAGCATCATTGCACAAGCGCGGGCCACAGATCCACAGTTGTCGAGAATGATTACTCCTTCAACGAAAATTCCAATGTCATCACAATGTCGCATTTCTCCACCCTCCTTGTTGATGACATATATACCCATGGTATGCTTTTGCAGGTCTCTCAGGATGTCATTTCCTTCAATGTCCTGTATGTGTAAAGAGAATAGGAGAAAAGAACACGATTCATGAAATGTATTTAATTTCAATGACGTATACTTTACTGTATGAACATTGCCACCATACATAATAATCTCTTAGATGAATCTGATCCCATTTTATATGTATTTAAATAAAACTATATATCTGTGAGGTGTTATTAAAGATGTACATAGGAACGACGATACTGTGCAGCAAGTTGTTAATTTTATATGAATATTCTCAACCGTCTGTCAATGATAACATGAACCTCTGAAAACGTATGTGGGTGACATTAGGATCTTAAAACATAACATGTGACAGGCAAATCCATCCCAATGACTTACTATATACTCCCAAACGAGCTGTCCCTCGTCCTCACCCAGGTAGATGCAAAGAGCCTTTAGGATAGCTGTCCTTTTCAGATTGACATCACTTGTCTCCTGTGTTAAAGAATTACAATTAGTAAATAATAATAAGAAATACATAAATAAGTACAACAATTTCAATAAACTGAACAATATTTATAAAATGTAATAACCTAAATGTACAATATAACTTAATGTTTTCATCATCACATATATACATGACATTTTACATGTCGTAATGATTGGTGTACATATTTACTTCTTGCAAAATCTCCAGATGTTTAGCTAGTTTCTGGCCAGCAACTCCTCCCTTCATCTGGAAGATGGATGTCAATTGGGCTAAATGGCTGTCCGACCGTGCCATGAAGGTAGATTCCAGTGGGATGGCTGTAATGCGTTTGAATTCAGCATGTATCTTATCAAAGAACAAAAAGACAAAATACAGAGTATTGGTGCAATATTCTGTTGTACAAAGACAAGAGGCACATTGGGAAAATAGCTAGCATGTGCTTACCTCATCGATATGGAAAAGTGCAGGCCAATCAGGATATCCACACTTAATATGAAGGCCACGTCCAAAATGACTATGTTTTAGTTTGTAATGTTTAAGAATCTTTGATCGCCTAGACACTTCAGCGCCACACAGTCTTTACACTGCCACATAAACTAGACAAACAACAAAGAGAGAAGAAAAAAAAAAAATTAGTGATGATGTTTATACAGTCACCCGTGGTACTTAAAACTCCTGCACTGTAGAGCTAACAAAAGATGAGTAATTAATTTAAGTCATTGTTTGTCCCAGGAAACAAAATCATTTGCACAAAAGTTGTTGAGTGCCTACATATGATCAGTGGCATAACTGCCCTATAGAGAGCAAAAATACCACAACATTACAGAATATTTATCCTGAGCAGTACTGCTGGGATCAGCATACCTGTGAAGAGTTTGTTTGTTAAATGTACTTACCAAAACTTTATGAGGTCCCCAAAGAGTTCCACATCACACCAACATCAGATAGAAAAAACTGCAAAAAAAATACAAATATACCTAAAAATACAATTCAGGTATTTATTTTAGGAAAAATAAGTAATGTTCAATAATCATTACTGACTTGGGTTAAGATAATGACTCAAATTAGATCCCAACAAACACATTTTGTATTTAAATAAACCCTCATATTACTATAGAAATGAGCAACAAATTGCAGAAAGGTTTCTTAAACATTAATTATTCATATATATATTTTTTTATTCAAAAAGAATATATATGATTAGTATCAATTCTCAATTATTAACAGACAAAATACTGTGGGTAGGCTACAATAGTTAGTTAATTTCTAATGAAACCAGAGCTGAAAACGAAGCTAAACTATTTTGGCACGGCAGGCAACCCAATATTATCCTATCCATTTAGTTTTTGGCCAACAACTAAAAAGTATTTTTAACCGGACAGTGGTCATGAATCGACCTTGCTTGTCCTCCTCTGTTATCTACAGAGCAGCTGCAGCTTACATTTTCCCCGCATTGAAGCGCATTTCCTCCGTGCTCTCAGAGCTACCTACATGTTTAAGCTAACGCTAGCTCATTAGTGTATAGCCGAGAAAAGGCACCACAAAGGGAAAATATACCACAGAAAAGAGTTGAGCAGAGCAGAGCCGCGCGCGACTCACGTAATGGCCGTTAACATTAACCCATTTGGCGCCAGAGAGCAGCAAGCGCACCTTTATCAATAGGATTTCAGTTTAGTTATTGTTCCTCCTAATATTACCGCACTGATAGGTTCAAGTTAAAAATACACTTAAAGTGGGTCCATAACGTTAAACCTTTCTACATGCCGAGAAAGCCGGGAAGGTGAAGCTACAAGCTATTAACGTTAGCTAACATTAGCTATCAGCTAGCGTTAGCTAACGTTAGCTATCAGCTAGCGTTAGCTAGTCAATTGACATTGGTTAGGTTCGACTTTTAGTGGCCACAAACTCACGAGAAAGTCCAACAAGAAAAGCATTTGATGCATCACGCATTTATATTGATATCATCGGCACCAGTTAGATAATTATTTTCACTTAAAACGAGTCTACTAATGCTAACCTAGCCTTAATGATGTAGGCAACATTAAGCTAACGTTAGCAGCTATAGCCTCAGTTAACATTTTATTAACACACAGCAGACAGCCAACTACTTTTCTAAATCCGGTTAAAGTGAAAATATAATACAGCCATGAATTTAAGATGTTTACTTACTGAAAACGTAGAGCCTTGGATACCCAGACAGCCAGGAGATATAGCAAATCTTTAAAAGTGAAAAAGATTCCCGCGTCCTCCAGGGGCGGTTTGTGGTCGCACATGCGCAGATGTGGAAGTTGAATGTGGTTGTAAAATGTACACATTTTTTTCATGTAACTTTTAAATGAAGGAAATAAGCTTTTTCTAAACCATGGAATAATGTGTTAAGATTAATTAAAAAAGATAAGTAGGATTCAATAACACGTTCAAATCAGTGAAATAACCTTGAATAAATCAAGTAATATTTAAAAGGGGTCCGAATCATTTTTTTCAGTGTACTGTTGTGAGCTGTGAGCACGTTTACTCTGCGTCTCCTTGGTTGATGGTGGAATTTTGACCATTATAATTTCTTTCACGTACTGTTCAAAACATATCAGAAAATAGTTTGTAAATTAAGTGAGTGGCTGTTTTAATGTAAGGCGGGTAAGGCAAAAATAGCAATAAAATCCCTCACCAAGTATCAAGGAAACATTTAACATCAATGTAAAAGGTTTCACACCAACATAACGGGCATAAAACAAAGTCAAAATATCTTGGAATCCACCATTTCATTTACATGTTTTTGATCATTAACTATTTGGGCCTATTTTAAGACATTTCATAACCTCCATAATATCACACTACAATCAAGAGGTGTTTGACCCATGAATGAAGACAATGAACCATTTTTGACAATCTGGTTTGGATGTATTGGTCTTTATAATACAGCAGAATTATTGTGGTGGCTGTTGAAGTCAAAAACCCTGAATACAACACCAATGATGTCAAGCTGCTGCATTCTGGATGAGCTACAGAGGTCGAATGGCGGTAGCAGGGAGACCTGCCAGGAGAGTTGAAACATAAGTATTAGATCTCAATCAATACGTAGTTGTAGTCTCTCTACAAAAGTCTGTGCGTTGTTCAGCCAGAACTGATATCAGCATTAATTTTGATGACTAATGATTTAAATAGGATATCAGCTCTTTACAGAGAGTGCGGGGCCCTTAAAAGGACCGTTTAGTTGTTGACCCTGACGAGCAAAGAGCAGAATGACACAAAATGTTAGTTTGCAGCTGTGTCCTGAGAAGGGAGGGCGGTCAACTCTATCTCATAGACTCTTCAAAACAAAGGACTTCTGTTCATGGCCTTAGTCCGCACCTGAATTGAGTTTAAGACCCCGGGCTTAGAAGATGTAATTCAGTATAGAGTAAATGGTGTGAATACCTGCTGACTTGCTGGATATGCACCAGTCCAACAAAGTAATATCAATATCACCCACACACCTTACAGTCCTTATGACAGCAGTAAAAAAATGGTTGAGATTATTATTAGCTGGGGCACTTTGACGTTGAGGACATCCATTATAAACATCTACACAATTAAAGACAGATTCTGAAAGTTCTGGATTGACAGCTTTTCTAAAATTATGAGTTTATGTATATGGTACACGTATGGTATGGTACGTAAAGGAACGAGTGCTTTACAGAGAGTGAGGTGGCTCTTAAAAGAGCCGTTGTTGAGATTAGAATCAGGGTGTTTAAGCTCGTTCCCCGCGGATGCGACGGGCCAGCTGGATGTCTTTGGGCATGATGGTGACCCTCTTGGCGTGGATGGCGCACAGGTTGGTGTCCTCGAACAGGCCCACCAGGTAAGCCTCGCTGGACTCCTGCAGAGCCATAACGGCGGAGCTCTGGAAGCGCAGGTCGGTCTTAAAGTCCTGAGCGATTTCTCTCACCAGACGCTGGAAGGGCAGCTTGCGGATCAGCAGCTCCGTGGACTTCTGGTAGCGACGGATCTCTCTCAGAGCCACGGTACCGGGCCTGTAACGGTGAGGCTTCTTCACGCCGCCGGTGGCAGGGGCGCTCTTACGGGCAGCCTTGGTGGCCAGCTGCTTCCTGGGGGCTTTGCCTCCGGTGGACTTACGGGCGGTCTGCTTGGTTCGTGCCATGATAGACTCGTCTCGCTCTGGTCAAGAGAAGTGAACTTTCAGAGGAGACACTCGGCTCTTAAATTGTGGACCGGCTGAGGAGCGGTGACGCTGATTCAGACCTCCGGCCCCTGATTGGTGGAGGACTCCTCCTGGAGCTCAGCCGCGACTCTACAAGCGAGTCTCCGCTGCTCATTGGCGGAAAACGATTTCAAACTGTCCGCCAAAAACTGTGAGCTCGCTTCCTCTGTCTTCGCGCATGGAGCCTCTTCTCTGGTTGGTGCGCGCGTCAGGCGTCCCGCCCGCTCCGCGGACATATAAAGGAGGGTTTGACGAGTTCAGAGACACTTCCTACCCTAAAACACTCTAACAATGAGCGGCAGAGGCAAAACCAGTGGCAAAGCCAGAGCGAAGGCAAAGACCCGCTCCTCTCGTGCTGGGCTCCAGTTCCCAGTCGGCCGCGTCCACAGACATCTGCGCAAAGGGAACTATGCGCATCGTGTCTGCGCAGGAGCCCCCGTCTACCTGGCGGCCCTGCTGGAGTATAGTGATGGGACAACCGACTCTATTATGCGAGTCGGCTCAACCGGACGGTCGTTGGTTGGCCTACCGAGTTAATAGATTCGGTCACCGGTTCGCGACGGGGGGGCTGGGTGCGCCTATCGCGCGTTTACTTCCCCGCCATAGTCGCTGACGGACGCCTGAATCGGTGGATCGGTTGATCACAACAGGCAGAGACCGTGTGATTACGGAGTCATGCAGTAGCCTGCGGTTACGTTCTCCTTCAGTAGCTGGTGCGGTCTCCTGACCGCCCGTAACAAACATTTTAGCCTACTCAACATAACTACCAAGATGACGCGTATTTGTATGTGATGTCGGCTGATGTAGCCTAGATTACAGATTCGACGGTGCACGGTTACATTCGGTCTCGTTCAGCAGCTCGGTGTGCGGTCTCCTCGGTCGCCACGGTCTCTTCCGGTCATTTACATAGCGTGCACCGCATTTGTTAACGAGTAGGCTACACACGATTTCTAACCCATGATAGAAATATTCCCTGCCTAACCTAATGGGAGTTGTGAATTGGTAGACCTAGCCTAACTAACTTGCCGTTAATTTTCATTCAGCAAGAGTTCGTTAACTTCTCAGTTAACGGTGCACTGCATTATAAACAGTTGTCATGCACAAAATAGCCTACTGCAAAGTGGTGTTTTGTAAACACAAACATTAAATAGCAAAATTATATCACAGCGTTTTATTCGATGCACTTATACATACAATGCAATACAATTGGCTCTCCAAGTTAGTAGTACAGCATTCAGTAATTGAGTCGCTCTCACGGTCACACCGCAACCGTGCTTCCACAACACTCTGTTCAACTCGGTTGTTACGGTTCTTTTCTTCTTCTTTTGTTTCTTGGTAGATGACTATCTCTGTAGTATACCGCCACTCACTGTACAGGAGTCTCTTAAGGTTCAGTCGTGCGCGATCAAGGTAGCCCATTTCCTGATTGATTCTACCACCACTCCAGTGGAGGCGCTGGTGAGCTAGATTAGCCTACTACACACAGAAGAAGACCACCGATCGCGCGCTCAAGCACACTGAAGCGCCGGTGTTACGTGCCTACTGGTTTTTGAACCTACTGGTTTGTCTACGCGTGCGTGTTTGTTTTCCCCCTACAGCGGCAGATGTTGTCTGCCTCAGTCACCTGATTCGTCACACATTCGCAAACATATTGCTGAAAATGTTCAAAAGTCATCACATATCCATTGCAGCGATTACGATCGTATAAGTGAACACTACGTCACTGCCACGTATGAAGAAATACATTGAAGAAAATAAATGTATTAAAAGATCGCCGCAACCTGGATTCGATCCCCCGCGAGCAAAGTGACAAAACGTTACAAGACGAACGCGCTACGCCGTCGGCCACTGGAGCTCACTAGTATCGCCGCTGTTTCCTGTACTGCGCATCACATTGGACATCGGCAGTGGCTAGAAAACCATTTGGTTCAGAGGGAACCAAGACAACTGGTTTTGGTGGCGTATCGTTCAACACTCCCAAACATGTGTATCGATACTTTTTCGCGAGGCTGCAGCTTTCCACCACCGACTCATTTGGACAAAAGGGGGGATTCTGCTCGGACGGTCATTGTGCATCACAGCCACTTAAGAAAGTCATTTAAGAAAATATAGATTAAAATATATTTTAATGAAAGATCGCCACAACCTGGATTCGAACCGTGTCGAACAAAATAACATGTTTCGGGACGTTTGCTCTAAGCGGTCGGCCACTCGAACTTGATAATTGATGCTGAAAATTTCCTTCTTATTTTATTAAACTGTATACAGTTGTAAACCTCTTGGTTCAGAGGGAACCAAGACAACTGGTTTTTGATGGGGTGTTGTGGAACACTTCTAAACATGTGTGTTGGTGCTTTTTTGCGATGCTTGATACAGTTATTTACACATTACATCCACCCCGTTAAAAAAGTGCTTTACAGACGTGAAATCCGAAAATACACCTGGGATTAAGCAATCACGTTAATTAGCAACATCAGTATGAAGGGAGAATTGCAAAGTTGGTGCGACCTCTGCTCAGTAGAAATATATCTCGAAAAGCTATAGAACAAAAAGAGCACCGATGGACCCTCCCAAAGTGAACGCTTTTTTTGTCATATGCATTTAGATGTTATTGAGAAAGTAATTATACGTGTGTGCTAGAAAACCTGACAGAACTATGTAGAGAATGTGGGGATTCGAACCGTGTCGAACAAAATAACATGTTTCGGGACGTTTGCTCTAAGCAGTCGGCCACTCGAACTTGATAATTGATGTTGAAAATGTCCTTATTATTTTATTAAACTGTATACAGTTGTAAACCTCTTGGTTCAGAGGGAACCAAGACAACTGGTTTTTTGGTGGCGTATCATTGAACACTTTATCGGTGCTTTTTCGTGATGCTTTATACTGTGAAAATACTCAATAATTATTAACACTAAGCACAGAAGGATGAAATATTAGTAATGTTCTATCCACAAAATGAAGAAATGGACGTCATAATTTACAGCCAATGTAAACACTGCTTGATTAGAGTTTTTGTAGAAACCTTATGGCCTTAATCGTCTTATAAGTAATTGTTTGATGAGCAAAAACTCAGGAGCAATTATAATTGAATTACATTTATTTTGTCCATCCCAAAAACAAATTTTAGCATTAGAGGGCTTTACAATTTATACGACATCCTCTGTCCCAGGACTCTCACATCGAAACAGGAAAAATTCCCCAAAAACCCTTTTAACAGAGAAAAGAGGAAGAAACCTGTGGGAGAGCAAACCCGGAGGGATCCTTCTAAGGCCTATGACCTTTGTCCCTGGACTTTACTGTGCATCCCCACATTCTCTACATAGTTCTGTCAGGTTTTCTAGCACACAAGTATAATTACTTTCTCAATAACATCTAAATGCATATGACAAAAAAATCGTTCACTTTGGGAGGGTCCGTCGGTGCTCTTTTTGTTCTATAGCTTTTCGAGATATATTTCTACTGAGCAGAGGTCGCACCAACTTTGCAATTCTCCCTTCATACTGATGTTGCTAATTAACGTGATTGCTTAATCCCAGGTGTATTTTCGGATTTCACGTCTGTAAAGCACTTTTTTAACGGGGTGGATGTAATGCGTAAATAACTGTATCAAGCATCGCAAAAAAGCACCAACACACATGTTTAGAAGTGTTCCACAACACCCCATCAAAAACCAGTTGTCTTGGTTCCCTCTGAACCAAGAGGTTTACAACTGTATACAGTTTAATAAAATAAGAAGGAAATTTTCAGCATCAATTATCAAGTTCGAGTGGCCGACCGCTTAGAGCAAACGTCCCGAAACATGTTATTTTGTTCGACACGGTTCGAATCCAGGTTGTGGCGATCTTTCATTAAAATATATTTTAATCTATATTTTCTTAAATGACTTTCTTAAGTGGCTGTGATGCACAATGACCGTCCGAGCAGAATCCCCCCTTTTGTCCAAATGAGTCGGTGGTGGAAAGCTGCAGCCTCGCGAAAAAGTATCGATACACATGTTTGGGAGTGTTGAACGATACGCCACCAAAACCAGTTGTCTTGGTTCCCTCTGAACCAAATGGTTTTCTAGCCACTGCCGATGTCCAATGTGATGCGCAGTACAGGAAACAGCGGCGATACTAGTGAGCTCCAGTGGCCGACGGCGTAGCGCGTTCGTCTTGTAACGTTTTGTCACTTTGCTCGCGGGGGATCGAATCCAGGTTGCGGCGATCTTTTAATACATTTATTTTCTTCAATGTATTTCTTCATACGTGGCAGTGACGTAGTGTTCACTTATACGATCGTAATCGCTGCAATGGATATGTGATGACTTTTGAACATTTTCAGCAATATGTTTGCGAATGTGTGACGAATCAGGTGACTGAGGCAGACAACATCTGCCGCTGTAGGGGGAAAACAAACACGCACGCGTAGACAAACCAGTAGGTTCAAAAACCAGTAGGCACGTAACACCGGCACGAATGAGTGGTTGAAAACCGGAGTGAGTCGGTTCTTTGACGTTTGGCACCCGATTCTCCCGAATCGGGTTATTTAACCGGCTCTTCGCTCAGTTCGTCAACACTACTGGAGTACCTGACCGCTGAGATCCTGGAGCTGGCTGGAAACGCCGCCCGCGACAGCAAGAAGACCCGCATCATCCCCCGTCACCTGCAGCTGGCTGTCCGCAATGACGAGGAGCTCAACAAGCTGCTGGGCGGAGTGACCATCGCTCAGGTCGACGTGCTGCCCAACATCCAGGCGTTGCTCCTGCCCAAGAAGACCGAGAAGCCCGCCAAGTCCAAGTAGAGATGGAGGCCTTCATCTACAACAAAGGCTCTTTCAAGAGCCACCCACACATCTGTAGAGAGCGATGTTCCTCTTAACACTTATACTTTATCATAGAACATTTTTTACATAAAGATATGAAACTATTAGACTAGTATTTATTAACATATACAACTGCCGAGATAATGAGCTGATGAGACTAGGCTTCCACCTTAATGTTACCTATAAATAATTTAAATTGAAACGTGTAGTCCTTTTAAGGGCTAAAAAATGAAACTTACATGGATCTGGTTCCATTTTTATGCACCTCCCTAAACTACAAAATCTTTTATGTCCACAAGCATGGCACATCTTTGTAATATTGGCCCACTCTTTGCAAAGGCGCTCAAATTGAGTAAGATTGCAAGTGCATCTCCGGTGCATTGCCTTCTTCAGATCAGCCCAAATATGTTCAAATGGATTTGGGCCTCGGTTCTGCCTGGCCCTTCCAAAACGTTAAATCCTATTCTGTTGAAGTAACTTATTTGCATCATCAGCTTTTCCTCCGCCGCTCCTATTGCCATAGCAACCTCCTCCGCTTAATAAAAGCACCCCTGAATAAATAAAATAGATAATATAATAAAAGGTTGTCTTCATCTGGTGTATGGTGTTGAGAGAGGGTGTTAAGCTGCACATTGAACTCGGTGTGTGACCTTTCTTGGGAAACTCGTGACCTGACCTAGTTCACGATGGCATCCTGTTTGGAAAATAGGTGCCTTGAATGGTCCACAGATGTTATTGATTGACTGGGTCCCATTAAGGGAGGGTCACGGGTGTCTCCCCTACATCGTCTGGTACCTTTCCATACATTCCTTATGGGGGAGGCTCTCCTGTGTTGAAACAACACAAACCTCATGGAAGTGTATAAAACCTCCTGTTCTACCCCAGAAGCTTGGTCCGATCTTCTACTGCTGAGGGAGAAAGAACAATCTGCCCCTTTTCAGCCTAATTGTATGTCATTTGATTTGTCTGTACTTACGGCTTGTGTTGATGATTTCTGTATTCTTTATCATTTTAAAAACGCATCCAAGGAGCGGAGCGGCGTGTCTGCTGCCGCCGTCAAGAAGGCTCTGACCGCCGGAGGATACGATGTGGACAAGAACAAGGCCCCTGCAGCCAAGAAAATTCCAGTGAAGAAGGCTGCTAAGAAAGCAGCACCCAAGAAGTAGTAAGCTGATGTCAGTCTGACGAACCAACTTCTATAAAAGGCTCTTTTAAGAGCCACCCAATCCTTCCCTAAAGAGCTTTTTCATTTCTATTAAATAAACACATTCCGTGTGATGCAGTCTATAAATGTGCAAATTTGTAAATGAATGACTAACCCTATTAACTTAAAAATCATGTATTTCCCATGTATTCAAAACTGTTGTAAATGTTACAAATAAACACAATTATAAAGGAAACTGTCTTCAGAAGAAGTGGGTGGCTCTTAAAAGAGCCTTTGTGTTGGTGGTCTACACCAGGTTTACTTGGAGCTGGTGTACTTGGTCACGGCCTTAGTTCCCTCAGACACTGCGTGTTTCGCCAGCTCGCCGGGCAGCAGCAGGCGCACAGCGGTCTGGATCTTCCTGGAGGTGATGGTGGAGCGCTTGTTGTAGTGAGCCAGACGAGAGGCTTCACCGGCGATGCGCTCAAAGATGTCGCTCACGAACGAGTTCATGATGCCCATGGCCTTGGAGGAGATGCCGGAGTCGGGGTGGACCTGCTTCATCACTTTGTACACGTAGATGGCGTAGCTCTCCTTCCTGGTCTTCCTCTTTTTCTTGCCGCTCTTGCTGACGGCCTTGGAGACGGCTTTCTTGGAGCCCTTCTTGGGCGCTTTCACAACCTCAGACATGATTCAAGTCTTTTTCGTAGACTGACAATGTCCCGATCTGAACAGAACGGCGTCCATATATGAACGAGATGCAAATTTCACTGTGCGGTTGCTCGAGCATGTTGTAAGAATCATTGTGTGCACTGAAATCTAATGTCCGTCACAAAAACCATTCCCAATCACAGGGCATCGTGTTGATAATTACATATACACACACTTCAATTCTTGATGTGTCAAGACGTGACAAACATCTTTTTTTCATCCAGAATAGACAAATACATGTCTATTAGTCCGAAATAACTATTATAGGGCACCTTAACAGGACTGGTAGGCATTCAGCACACTGAGCCACGGAAGGGAAACACGTTCAGTTTGTATTCTTATGTCTAGACTGACTTTGTGATGTGACTTTAGAAGTAGGATGAGCGCAATTATCCTGATGACTGACGTCTAGTCGTTCAAATTAACGTTTGAGCGTGGATTAGTTTGTGAGGAATCAAGGTAGCCCGACATCAACCATTGGGTTAATTTGGCTAATAGGACATTTGATAGACTGGGATCAGTTTGACCGATTTGACAAATATCCACTTCATTTTTACATTGATTACGCTGGGATTTACTGAAATAGCCAAACATCAAAAAGGACAACGGGAAAATGAATTGTAGGCACTGAGCCAGGGTTAAAAAAAAACAAAAAACACTGCAGCAGCTACATCCATCAATGATTTGGTCCATAATCAAATACTCATCTTATAGCTATCGTGTCAGTTGATCCCAAATTGGTTAATCACAATTCAAGTCTCTTCTACACACAAATATCAGAACAAATGCAAAGAAAGGAGTTTCAATTACTGTGCCTAATATTGGAGACATGTGTATCACAGCTCTTTTCGTGTGGGTGGGTGGCTCTTGAAAGAGCCTTTGTGGTAGATGGAGGCCTCCATCTCTACTTGGACTTGGCGGGCTTCTCAGTCTTCTTGGGCAGGAGCACCGCCTGGATGTTGGGCAGCACGCCGCCCTGAGCGATGGTCACTCCGCCAAGCAGCTTGTTGAGCTCCTCGTCGTTGCGGACAGCCAGCTGCAGGTGACGCGGGATGATGCGGGTCTTCTTGTTGTCGCGGGCAGCGTTTCCAGCCAGCTCCAGGATCTCAGCGGCCAGGTACTCCAGCACGGCCACCAGGTAGACGGGGGCTCCTGCGCCGACACGCTGCGCATAGTTCCCTTTACGCAGATGTCTGTGGACGCGACCAACTGGGAACTGGAGCCCGGCTCGGGAGGAGCGGGTCTTGGCCTTCGCTCGGGCCTTTCCACCGGTTTTACCTCTGCCGCTCATTGTTAAACTGTGTTGAGGAAAGGAAGTGTCGCTGAACGCATCCAACCCTTCTTTATATGTCCGCGGAATGGGCGGGGCGGTTCCTGACGCGCGCACCAACCAGAGAAGAGGCTCCAGGCGCGAGAACAGAGGGTGGGAGCTCTGAGATTTGGCGGACAATTTGAAGTAATTTTCCACCAATGAGCAGCAGAAACTCGCTTCTAGAGGCGCGGCTGAGCTCCGACGCTGCGCCTTTTGTTCCCAGCAGTTACCGTCTTCTGAATAAATAAATCTATGAAGTACCAACAACATTCGTTTCAGTTCAGCTAATTCAGGCTTTTCCTAATAAATCCTATTTTCTGGCTCATACATCAATTGTGTCTGAGAGGGATTCATTTAGTGTATTTACTTCTTCAGAAAGTGAATGGACACGTTTGTGTCAGTGTGGGACTGCCGTACGTGGAGAATTAACAAAAAAAATAGATTTTCTTCTCTACTTACTTGTGATTTTTACATATGAGCATGTGTATTACATTTGTGTGATATTTGTAGTACATATTTAACAATTTAATTCAATTCATTTTATTTTGTATAGCCCAAAATCGCAAATTACAAATTTGCCTCAGAGGGCTTTACAGTCTGTACAAATACAACATCCTCTGTCCCGAAACCCACCATCGGCACAGGAAAAACTCCCCAAAAAATGAAAAAACCCTTCCAAGAGGGAAAAAAGGGAAGAAACCTTAGGGAGAACGTCAGAGGAGGGATCCCACTCCCACTGGCAGCAGCAGGTGTCAGCAGGGGCATGGGAGGTGTCAAGACCAGGGTCCAGAAAGAACTACGATCTACAGAGACCTGCTAGGGGAGAATGCACAAAAACCCCACGGAAAGAAGCTGAATAAGTCATGTGCATTAATAAAACGTGGATTATTGTAGAAAGAGAGCGTGAAAGAGGAGCTTGGTGTGTCCCAAGAAGTCCCCCGGCAGGCTAAGCCTATAGCAGCTTAACTAAGGGCTTGTCTGGGCTAACCTGAGCCAGCCCTAACTATAAGCAAAATCAAAGAGGAAAGTTTTAAGCTTTATCTTAAAAGAGCTGACCGAATATGCCCCCCGGACTGAAAGTGGAAGCTGGTTCCACAAAAGAGGAGCTTAATAACTGAAGGCTCTGGCTCCCATCCTACTTTTTAAAACCCTAGGAACAACAAGTAACCCAGCATCTATGGAGCGCAGCTACCTTGTAGGGCAATACAGTGTTACAAGCTCTTTAAAATAAGACGGTGCCTCAACAGCAAGTGCCTTGTAGGTGAGGAGATGTACCTTAAATTCTATTCTTGATTTAACAGGGAGCCAGTGCAGAGAAGTTAATACAGGAGTAATATGATCCCTTTTCTTAGTTCTTGTTAATACACATGCTGCAGCATTCTGAATCAACTGGAGTGGCTTAAGAGATTTACAAGAGCAGCCTGATAACAAAGAATTACAGTAATCCAGTCTAGAAGTAACAAACGCATTAACTAATTTATCTGCATCACTTCGAGACAGAAAGTTCTTGATTTTCGATATATTACGTAGATGAAAAAAGGCAGTCCTTGAAGTCTTCTTTATATGAGAGTTGAAGGACATATCCTGGTCGAAGAGAACTTCAAGAGTTTTTTCTGAGTTTAGCATCAGGAAATTGCTGGTCATCCAAGTTCTAATGTCTCCAAGACATTCTTGAAGTCTAACAAGCTGGTCGGTCTCTTCTGGTTTGATCGACACATACAGTTGAGTATCGTCTGCATAACAATAGAAGTTTATGCAGTTTCCTGATAAGATCGCCCAAAAGAAGCATATAGAGGGTAAATAAAATCGGTCCAAGTACAGAACCTTGTGGGAGTCTGTGACCAACATTGGTGGCCTTTCGAGAATTCCCCGTTTACCAGACGTGGAAAGAGTACTGAAAATTTTTACTCAATTACAGGTACTGTTAGATTGCTTGAATTTTACTCAATTACAAGTAACTACTAGTGTTAAAAAATACTTAAGTAAAAGTACAAAGTGCTCTTCTCAAAAACTACTACAAATTACTTTTTAACCGATGGATGTTTTATTGCATCGTCAATAGCAAACATTCGATGTATAAAATTCAATTGTTCAATTCAACATTTCTCAGACGAACGGCGGTGTCCGATACGTGCAAACGCGTTGCAAACGGCAAAACAAATCCATCAGTTATACCCTGCAAGAGAAAAATGCGTCAATCACAAAAACGACCGGAGCACACGCGACGCAAACTTCTAAACACATGCAAGAGAGAAATGCTGCAAGTTCACTCAAAACACAACGGAAGTTCGCAAGGCCACTAGGGGGTTACGACCTGTGGGATAGTGGATTGACTATGGGCCATAGTATCATAGTAACGACGGAGAGGAAAGTTAATGTGCTTTATGTCTTTTTTAAAGACCTGGCCGTAATCATAGCTTTGGCCATCCTTCTTTCTTTTCATAACTTTCTTCTCCTTCCATTTTTTTCTCAAATTCTCAGTCCACTCTTTACACCGCTGTGTATTTGACCTCCAGAAACATTTGCCTGCTGCACCAGCGACTTGGCCTTTGCTTATATTACATCTTAGAATAATTGGCGCATACTCAATAGTATGGCTGCAACTAACAATTATTTTGATAATCGATTAATTGGTCGATTATTTCTTCGATTAATCGATGAATTGTATAATGAAAACACCATTAAAAAGCTTTAATTTCCAACACTGTATTCTAAAACAGAACTGCAAATTCACATTGCAAAAATACTTCAGTACAAGTACAAGTTGCTCCATGAATATAATATATATAAAAAAATAAAGAAAAATACTAATCAGAAAATGTAACAGGATTTGTTTTAACAAACTTGTTTTAACTCGTTCTCTATACTACACTCACAAACTCTCACTCACAAACACACCCCCATGTTCACTTAAAGCTTATTCATTAAATGATTACCATCAATTAAATGTATACACCCCATCTAAGTAAAGCTAAAAAACAACCAAACGCTATGAGATTAATTTAAAATGGCGTTTGTAAATAAATGTATTAGAGGCTTCTTAGTTAGCCGCCTTGGTTTAATGGATCACAGTGCCTCCCTTTACAGGCATAACATCAACTATCGTAAAACCCACAGTAGGCCTATAGTACAAGTACTCAAAAAATCGACTTAATTACAGTAACGTGAGAATTTGTAATTTGTTACTTCCACCCCTGCCGTTTACAAGCACAAACTGGCATCGTTCCGATAAATAGGATTTAAACCAGCTGAGTGCAGTTCCTTTGATACCAATCAAATATTCTAGTTTCCGCAACATGATACAATGGTATATGGTGTCAAATGCGGCATTGAGGTCAACAACGACAGATTCGTAATATCGAGTGAAGACTTCCTTAAGCAGACGGAAATCGGATCCAAGAGACAAGTAGAAGATTTAGACATTGAAATCATAGAAGTCAGTTGATCAAGGTTGATGGAAGAGAAGGCATCCAAGCAGGCATCAGGGCCCACTGCTGCATCCAAGGTTCCTACATCTGAGGACAGGTCGGCACTGGTTGAAGGCAAGAGACCATACATTTTCTCTTTTATAGTCAGAATCTTATCATTGAAGAAATTCATGAAGACGTTACTACTGAGGTCCAAAGGAATACACGGCTTGACAGAGCTGTGACTGTCAGTCTGGCTACAGTGCTGAAGAGAAACCTGG